CATTAATTATTAATGCTAATAATTAATTACTTTTAATTGATTTATCAGCGCATTTTAATTCATCAATTTATTTCATGGCAATAAACTTTAAGTAGCATTTCACCCTATGTGTTTCGGTTTGTATAATTAACTACAAACTGTAAGAGGAAAAAGTAGTAAACTGTACTCCGTCTGTTATTTTTCAGGCAGTTTTTATTTAACATCGTTTAGTAGACTGCGGTTTGAAATAAAATAATGCCAGGTTGATTTACCTGTCTCACCTGGACTAAAAACTCAAATATGAGTTAACGTTTACAATAAATTAGTTAAGGTACATTTTTAACTTTTGTTAAACATTTATTTAACTTGCGTTGTTTATACACTTGAGTTCGTTAGCAATTGCTTTTACAGTTGTACGACGCGGTATTGAGCTTAATGCTTCGAACATCTTTACTTGCCACAACTTGAATTAACAACGTACATATGTATAACAATGACAAGTTAGTTCACTTTCAAATTGACCAAAACATAATATTTTAACCAAAATTACTTAAGTGCCTATGCAGATTTTTATAGTAAAATGTTTATCATTTTACGGCAATTTTTCGAAGCAATATATAAAACAATTACCAAATAGAGTTGAAAAATTTGCTTTAACCGTACTATTCATACGAAGTTTTCAAACATCAAAAATTTGTCACGTGTAATCTTTTAAAGCTTCGATTCAATATTTCTTTTAAATCGTTCAAATCATACAATTTTACAAATTTTATAAAGGGAAATTTATTACGTACGTTAAAACACTAAATATTATTGGTACTAAATACGTATGTAGCATGCTACGAAAGTTTTATGTATTCAATGCACGCGTAGCATAGCCACGATAATATTTTGAATAAGTTTTTAATGAGACTAACTTATTTTGGTTGGCAACAAGTTCGTTATAAACAGAATATTACATTATAAAGAAATCTTAACACCTGAGCAAAAGATTGTGAGAGCTAGTAAATAACAAATGCGTTTTCCTTAGAAGAATTTCAACGAGCCTTTCTCGCAGGTTGTAAATGGCGACAATGGTATTTTAGGGTTGTTTGTGTCGCATAGGCCTCGTTTGTGTTCGTCAAGTCGTTCGTTGGCAACAAGGACGAAATGCCTTGTCTCCTCGTCGACGACGCGTACATTATGTGCTAAAACTTAGCGTATGCTACGTTATAGTTAGATATGTCTGTTGTCAAATGAAGTGCGTTACAGGTTACCTTGAATTTGTTCTAATACTCATATTATCGAGAAATAACTACTACGTTTTAATATATGAATGTATATTAGAGTATTGAGTATTTTCTGGACTTTTTTCAATATTTGTACGTATTTAACTCGTTTGGTTTGTAACTTGTTGTTATTAATATAACTATTTATATTACAGATGCAAAAACAAAGAAAAACATTTAAACAGCTCTGATGGGCATGAAATTTCTCTAATTTCCTTCGTTTAGGTTGAGGCGTAGGAAGAAAATACCTCTGGCTTTGACCAGTACGCTGTCTTTGGATTTCATGGTATGTTTTACTTCTCTCTCTCTCTCTCTCTTTACGTCGAAGCATATTACACTAAACGGTATAATTTTATAGGAACTTTTGTAATATTCCTAGCTCCCAGGAATAATAAATAAGTAGATGCAAATTGTTTGATCATTTGTAACTTTAAAAACAACGTTCATTTTTTATTCTTTCCACTAGAGTGGCGCTGTTCCGATCCAGTGACAATAGAAAAAAAATGTCATAAAATAAACAAGCTGTTTGAAAATATTTTAATCTATTCTCTAGACTGGAACACAAAAAAAAATTCAGTTGATAGAATATGTGTAGGCAGAAATTAAATTTATTGTACTTTTGTAGGCTACAACCGAAGGCTACAACAATATGCATCTGAATAGCAGTAAGTATATATTTTATGTTAATTTTAAATAAATGCGTATAAAAGCAGTCACCTACATAATGTAGCATTAAGTAGAGAGACATCAGATATATACTTATATTTACAACAGCAAGTTATATGAGATGAATACATTAGATTATAAATAATTATAACAGCCCCATATCGATATTAATATGACAGTGTCGAAAGCAATTTTAAGCTCTTTGCTTTTAATAAAGTTTGGTTTGTTTTGTGAAAACTAGTGATAGCCAACTAACGTGCGAAAGCGTAAACTTTATCAATTAATTTCATAATTTTTTATGAAGTTTGTAAATCCAGCAGTGTACAAAAAATGTAATAACCGTAAAAGTAAATTAATGTAAATGTAACTGATATATTATATTTAATTATTTTTATTAATGGTGAGCGGTATGGGCGGCGCAAGTTTTTATCTGTTCGACTTTCGTTCTATCACTACGAGAAACTCGATTTATTTAACTGTTATCCGAGAAACTTTTTATCTCGCGTCTATCCGTATTTCAGATAAAGAAATCCTTTATAATTACAAACAGAAAATGTTATTTTTGTTATTAATGAAGTCCTTAAAACATTAATTAGAATGCCGAGAAAAATCGTACATTTAATTACCGGCACGTTCGATATCATCTGATTTTACAGTTTAATTACCGAGAGAGATTTCAGAATTAAAATCGTTCGTGAGTCCGCTGGATTAATGAAAATGTAGGCGGTGTTTTATTTTTCCAAACATTTTAATGTAATGTATAGTTTTTTTTAAGCAACATATCGTATCTGGCGTAATGTGATAACACACAGATTTTATATAGTTATAGTTATTATACTATTTGATATAGATATTGAATTGCTAAGAAATACAGGGGAGGATGCAACATTCCGACTAAATTACATTTTTCAATGAATGTCGTAAAGGAAATGTACTTTGCTGAGATATTCAGGAGCACGTGTAATATCCACTAACCCGCATTGAAGCCGGCTCGAGGACAAGGCTGGAGAATGGGCAGGGGAGGGGACATATTTTTACGAGCCTCCTCTCCGTCCTGTTCTCTGGAACGCATTACATATGCTCCTTATGATAGCCTTCATTTTCTATATTACATTTTCCCATACATACATGTCAAATGGTTTAAAGATTATTTCGATCGTATCGTAGTCTTTGTTATAATTCGATATTAATGTTTTTACTACGGTCAGAACAAACTGAAGTAAAATTAGATTCGATATTCTTGAAGTTTTTCTTAACTCAGTACAAGTTACGTTAATTTAATAAAGATTTCACATACATACTTAAGAAAATTAAGATTCTGTATTTGGAATAGCTTTTAATTCCTACTATATCTGAATAAACTTATATTAAGATGGAATAACGATGATTTCCTTTCTCAGATTTAGGACATAAATTATATCTGTCTAGATTGAAAGATTACGTAAAGACGTACGGATGTATTGGAAGAAGCAATGCGGTGTGAAAGCTGTCGGAAGCAGAGAGCTATAGAATAGGTGGGAGTTGTCCGAAATACTCCGCATCTCGACTATCAATGTCCAGAACGTTAATTAATTCACGTTTATAAACGACCGGTTAGAGAGTCTCAGATTGTGTCTAATGGCACATTGTCGCCGGAATTTATTGCTCAACCAGACAATTGCCATTGACAATTACATCAACAATTTACGCTCCTTATTATTTATATTAAAATTACGTACATGCGATGATCACTCTATATTAATATTATTTAAGTAAGTACATTATTCAAAATACAAGTTCATTATCATTGCTTGGGATGCCGAGGTTCAATATTCAGATTCAATATGTAATAAAAAATTGTTTATACTAAAAAAATACTGGTTTTAACTTAAACAGTACTCAGAAATGTTGTTTTTTTTATTTTTAGATATGTTAGTACTGAAAAATTAATCATGACTGTTTAGTTTAACTATAATATGTTTGATAATCTTAGGGTATTTTAACAGTTGAAGAAAAAAGCGTGAAAGGTAGCAAAAATATTTAAACGAGTCTACGTAAATAAAAATATTAAATACATAGTTATATTCAGTTTGATTGACCACATTACGTAAATAATAAAGTGGAATAATTGTAGGTAATAAAATCAAAATAATAGAGGAAAAATTTAAATGTGTCATCAACAGGAAATGAAAGATGTATGTAAAATATGTTTGTCTGCGTGTAATCCAAGAGGTTTATTACAAATTCATGCAAATTAGATGACAAGAAAACATTTTATAGCAGTTTGTGCCGTTAAAGCTATCGTTAAGATATTTACTTTATAGCTTGTTACAATTACATATTAACGCAAACATCTCCATTTATCCTAAATCAATTTCACAATTCATGTAAACAGGATATATATTTGGATAGACATTGTTGGACAGTAACATAGCTTGGGGTTGAACATCATTATTATTTGATACGAAACTGTGTTACAGATTTAGGTCGAATATTTGGCTTAAATCGCTCAACCTGCCAGTGACTCGAGTGGGGAACTAAAGGTGCACATTAAACGACCAGGTTTCTCTTAAAACTGTAACGAATTGGCAAATCAACATCATTGATTTTTATTTATACTTCTTATTTATTACTACTTTTAGAACCTGAAATTTTACTACCGTGTATTGAAGTTTAAAGAAGAGTCATAAACTTAATTGTAAATTAATTTGAAAGGCAACAACAGATACTTGGGAAAACGGCAATGCATTACCGTAGTTCAATGGTTACTGAATCAAAAACAACGACTAACATGTAAACAATGGGTAGGTAAGAAACAAAAAAAAGTGATAAAATGAAATGAAATGCAAAAGTACGAAACAAAATATACGTATATTAAAGTTTACAAAAAATAATAGGTCATGGAAGTATGAAACTGTAAGCTGTATTCGAACCCGACACATACACACCGCGGTCCGCGGTCCGCACAGCACATCTACGGCAAACAATGCAGGTGACATCGAGCACTAGGACGGATGAGCGTGGAAGGGTCCCTAGCGGACCAGCATGCGGGACTGGCCGGGTGGCTGGGTGGCCGGAGGTGACCGGCGGCCGCGGCACGACACGTACGTGGGCGTGCGGCGAGGTGAGCGCGCGGCACAGGCAGGCGTGCGCCGCGGGAGCGCGGTAGTCCATGTAGTTGCCGTAGCCCATGTGGTCGCAGGTGCACGCGCAGCTCTCGATGTGCCGCCGCAGCTCCAGCTCCAGCTCCCAGGGCGGCTCCATGAGCGCGGTTAGCGCGGTACGCGAGCAGTGCGCGCGGCTGGCGCGACAAGCGCGCCCGGCGCGGCGGCGCGCATGGCGGGGCCGGCGGGGAATGCCGCGAGCCCGGCCGGAGCCCGGCGCGCCGGCCCGCGCAGCCGCGCCGAGCCCCGGCCACGTGCCGCCCCGCGCCCGTCTGCCCTCCACCCGCCACCCGCACGCCGGACAAATCTCTCAAATGCACAATCGTCAACCATCAATTTAGTCCGCAGGTACAGCTGCGGCATTCCAATAATAATGCAATGCAATCCAACGTCTATTCAATATAACTACCGCCGGCTCTAATGAGTTTACTAATTAAATATCCTTCTAACTATTGCAAACACTATACAACTGACCATTTACAGATCTTGTATAGTTAGTTAGTTAAAGTTTTCTTTTGCTGGCCCGAGGGTACTACACTACGTACACTCAAAACTAAATATAATGCGAGAATTGGAAATGAAACACAAAATTTCATTTTGGTTTTTTTCTATAAATGGTGAATTTTATAGCATTCCCTTATTATATACCATTTATAATATTTGGTCAAAAATAGTAAGATAACAAAATCTTTAGAACGTTAATTTATGATAGTCAGGAAAACTAAATAAACATACGATATACCTAAAACAAGTTATCCGTATTTGATCGGAGCAAAAAGTAGAGAAGCGGAGCAAATACAATCGCGAACAAGTAACTGACGTTAGGTTGTTGGGAGCCAATAAATACACATTTCTCTCGACTGAAATATCTGTCCCTGAAGCGCCCAACTTCCTTTGAATGTAATCATGTTATGGTTTTTCTTGCAAAACATGTTCCTCTTAGTCATTGTTACAGAATCTATTATTAAGTAGTAATAATAGTACCTAACACACTTTTCATATACGACTTGTTTTTTAATTGTCGGAACACAAAAGGATTTTTAATGCACATTTATCATGGTTCATTAGATTTTTTTACATTTTTCTTCTTGAAAGGTTCTTCAGATATTCAAATAAATTTAAATAGTAGTTATTATACAATAAAAGAATTACATTAGGGTATAACTATCATAGCGTAAAAGTTTTGCGGACATGCTTGTAGAGGTCGTGCCGTGTCCCAGTGGCGTGGCCGCGGCCGTGACGGTAGCGCCTCGCTACGCCGCAGACGTAGCGCGGAGATTGCAAGCTCTACGCTCTACGCTCTACGCCGTCTTACTTGAATTTAATCTCAATTGAATTAGTTATTCACTTTACCAGCCAGCAGCGACGTACCCGCTCTACCGTGTAAATAGAAACCTAGCTGTCTCCGTCTAAGCCGAAAAAGATCATTGTTTTTTTTTAGTCTCGCGTAAGTAAACCGTGTTGTAAATATATTTTTATGTACAAACTGGACAAAATTAACAAAAAACAAGTCACTATATGATGACTGCTTAAGATATAATTATTATATTAACACAAATTAAGAAATGTTTTCAGCGATATAAATAAAAAAATCACCACATTTTTCATTTAAATTAGAATACAATGAAATTTATATATAATTCAAAAAAATTAAAGTGTGTCAGCCTCATTAGGGTTATATGACATGTAATAAAAAGATAAAGCTCTACTTTATATTCTAAACATTATCGTAGATTACTTTGTGACCTACATATAGTAAACAATACGGACATGCAGCACGTATGGACACGCATATTGTAAAAAAATTGGGCTTTAAATTTTTTTTATCTACCTCAAACTCCTGAAAGTTTTCTGCGCAAATATTCCGTACACTAGAAATACCTGGCTATCGTTTGCACTCATATAAACAAAAACACTGCCCGTTTGTAAAATATAAAACGAAATATTTACTTATCTACTGCAATATTTAAAACAGAATGAATAGGTCAATTGGACTATAGAGATAAGTGCTTTGCTTTTACAAATAAAAAGTTAAAATTTTTGTCTTATCCTTAAAATCAGACTAATAATTGTGAAAAACTAACTTAGTGCTAAACAATGAAAAATACCGTTTATTTTCCTGTCATAATAAGAATTATAACTTTGGTATTTTTAAAAGTAAAACTAGAATTCATAAAAATAAAGTTGTAATAAATCCGAATCCACAATGCTTCAATAGTACTGGACATAAATCATTTATGAATTATTACGGGAGTGTTAAAATTCGCCCATTATTCCGGAGACAAGGCAACTGCGCAATAAATGTGCCAAATTGAAGATCCCTGGACCAAATAATATAATACTCAATATACCATCGTACAACGCACAAGTCCCATAATGTATTTTATGTTAATATTTGTTTGGCCATTTTTGGCAAGGAACCGCCTTCAGAATTGCACTAACGAGCATAATCCTACAATATTCAGATTTTAGCTCGAGTTTTGTTTGAGATATTGGAAATAAATGCTACTTGAAGTTACTTTCAAATTATCGCAGATTATCTCCTCTTGTATTAAGCGGTGAATGTTTTCATTTTGTTTTAAAGGATGTTTGTTACAATTGCACGAGAATGATAACATTACAAGATTTAATTCTATTCAAAGGTATTTTGACTAACATTTTGTAGAGGCAATTTGTATTTTACAACATTATCAAAAAAAATGTCTATTGGAAAAACCCAAAAATGTTTTTGCTATTTTTATATTCTCTTATTTTATAGTTATACATACGTATGTGTTAATCTTACTTCTTGCTAATATTATAAATGCCAAAGTTTAAATGGATGGATAGATGGATGTTTGTTAGAGTTTGTAACCTAAACGGCTTAACAGAAGAAATTTGACATAGACGTAGCGGATAGTCTGAAAGAACACATAGGCTACTAACTTTCTTTTTTTAATTCCATGAGTACGGAGTCCCGGGCGAAAGCTAGTTTCAACATAATATTATAAGATGTACACATAAATGTATACCAACAAACCCCTATCGACCCCATGTCGTTTACGATTAATTGCGGTCACCGTTGACCTAATTTAATTAAAATTGTATACCTATTAAATTTATTTCTAAGTCGTTTTGATAAACGTTGCAACATATTCCTCTTAATTTAATCCGTTTTAATAGCGTCGTGTATATCATTGACTTTGTCAATTATTTCTATGAAATTTTTACTTCTATAATTTTCATTTGTAAACTATCAATAATATTTTTAGTGCTTTTGCGGACTAACCTATAGGTAAGTAATAACATGTTAAGTAAGCAGTTATGAGAGTGGCATATAAAAATGATAGTTAATAAGAGGGTACACAAATAAAGTTAATTATCATTAAGCATTCATAACGAAATCGTTGTGAGTTAGTTGTTACAATATATTTAAAGATTGAAATAATACTAGGCGATTTAGGTCCAGTTCTTCTATTCTTCAATGATATCATAAATACTTAAAAAATTCCGCGCCTGAACCGAATACGTTCTTACATCAGTGACAAA